TTATAACTATCCTCTCCACTTCATCATCTACTGTTTGTAAATATCTACTGTTTGGGTTTTTTTCCTATATTAAATAAGTCCAGGGGAATGTAAACAAACACTGGATGCTGGAAGGGAAGAAATCAGGAGCTTTAGAAATCCAATTAGCTCTAAAACCTTGGCACGCTGGCTTGGCTGAGCCCATGGTGTGAAGGGCTGCAGGAAGCTTAAACAAAAGGCAACCACATCCTTTCAGCACATTCTAAACTCACAACAACTCTGCTCAGGGGCAGATTATTGCTCCTGCAGGGAGGATTGTGCTGGCTGTGCACACAGTGGATGTAACTCAGCCACCAGCAGCTTCCAGGAGTTGTGGTTCCTGCAGGAATCCCAGCAGGAACAGGGAGCTTCCCAGCCTGGAAAGCCTTGTGCTGGTCACAGCACAGGTCTGATCAATCACTTTTCCCAGAGAAAAGCTCCATCAAAAAGCAGATTCCTTGACAGCAAGGCTCATTTCTGCACAAGCTGACTCCTGGGGGACAGATGGAGATGGGGGTTGATGCTGGTGAAGTTTCCTGTGTTCCCTGGCTCTGGGCTCAGCTGTTACCATTTGGTGTTTTGCAGCGCTTTCCCTCACCAGAGCAATTTTTAGAACCTTGGAATTTTCTCTTGAAAAGCTCAGATTTAACTCCAGTCAGAATGGCTCCAATCTGCACCAAAATGGAATCTCTGAAAGAAGACTGGCCCTTGCATTGCCTTCTGAGGGTACCTTTACCCAGTCACTAATTACCAATTCTCTCTTTCTATTTTATGGTGTGCAAACAAGGAAAAACTCATTTTCAACCTGTTATCAATAGAGAGAAAGAGTTTCATGTTTTGTGGCTCTTTAACCTTCAAACAATGGCAAAGGCATGCAGGATCTCCAGTTTCCTAGCTGGAATATCCAGTGGCACACAGCAAAGCCCTTACATGACTCTCTCTGTTGCACCACTATATTGCAATAAATCCAGATGTTGAATTTGTTCCAAGAAACTGGAAAGGAACTCAACACACTCCCCCCTAGGTGTTTTCATCTCAGCAAAACTGGATTTAGAAGATTTTGAAATGCAATTCCTTTGTAAGGCACAGAAAACAGCACCCGACAGCCCCAAATTCATCCCTAGTGACTTGTCCTGAACTCCAGGGAATTCACAGTACTCCTCCCTAATTATTATCTAATCTAAGTACCAAATTCAGAGCAGAACTGATCATTCTATGAGTAATTTATTATACTTAATTGATATCAAACCCACAACGTATTAAAAATGAATGTTTAATTAAAACCTCCTTCAGTGAAGAGTTTTCCTTAATTAAGAGTACAACAATTAAGCCGTCCCACCCTGATATTTTAAGGATTCTTCCCAGGTCCACTGAAGTCCTTATTGAGCCTTTTCAAAGGGTTTCAAGGACTTCCCTGACTCCAGTGGACTCTGAATTCTAATGTCTCAGTGGTGCTCTGCCTCCATATTCTGCAGAATATGTGAAGAGAATTAATATGGCAAATTGTTTCCCACAGTGTTCCCTAATTTCATTGAGGAGACTTGACTGACTTTCTCTGTAATAAAGCATTCATTATAAAGAGCCAGTCAGAATATAAATGAAATCAGTTCTTCCTGAATAAAATATTTCATTCCTTTTTATGATACTTGCTCTTGCTCAGTGTATCTCCAAGCTCAACAGCTCCAGCAAGCCTGGGGACTGAGGGCAAAAAATTGATCCCTCCAAACTGATCCAGCTAATTTTCTGAAATATTTCCTGTACTCCACTTGTGCTTTGCAAAAATCTCATTGGTGTCAGTGGTGCAGTAAGAGGGAGATTGTGGTGCTGTGATTAATAAATCACAGGGTTAATGCCAAGAAATAAAAGTGAGCAGAAGATCCACATCCCTTGGAGTGAGGCTGTTAAACATGGAACACCAGGAGAGCAATCACTTGGAGCAGGGAAATCCCTCTGGCCACCCCACCAGGAATAAATCACCGAGGAGAGAGCCACATGCAAATTTTCCAGGCATTTTAGAAAGCAATTTAAATCAGCACAGGGTAATATTCAATCTCCTTATCAGGCTGCAGTGGGGAAGTGATTGGAGATTAGAGCAGGAAATATCAGTCGGGTGTTCAAGTGTGTTCAGCAGGCTTTGCTTTAGCATCTTATCAAGGCATCAAAACAGCCCACACTTGTTTGCTCCTGACAGGTTAATGCAGCTAAATAAAAGGTATTGTACCTTAATTAAAATAAATAAATAAAATTAAAGATCAGCATTTAGCTACAATAATAGAAAGGTTTTAAAACTGAGACATTCAGGAGTAAATTCTTGTGTGATATAGATTAAGGAAGCATGGCTCATTTATCTGCATTGGTTCCCAGTTTTCATCTCTAGACTTCCACTCATTTTATCTGGCCTGTAAAATTCCTTATTTATTTATTTAATTTATTTATAGCATTTTCTCTATCCACATCTGACTAAAAATATTTAAATTTGGTAGAGGAATGTCTTAGAGATTTTCAGCTGTTACAGTATCAGACAAAGGCAGACCTTTCAATGCACCTCTGTGGATTCAAATTTACACCCGAGAAAAAAATAGAGACTCCTGAGCCACTTCATGAAGTTTACTGCCCTTTAAGAGATAAAAAATATTCATGTTTTAAAGGAATTCCAGAAAACAATTTAAGAAATTTATCAGTGTAAGCTCCAAAAAGTTCCTTGTACATTATGGTGCTTTGTAGCTGTTTTGTAACGCCACAGAACTTCTTTTTTCTCTAAACTGAAAGAAAATATTACCAATTATCACTTAAAAATAAACCCTGCAAAGGTTTTGCAGTGAGCATGGGGAAGATTCAGTAGCATCCTCCCCAGCTGACTGCAGTTATAAATTTAGATCAGCTTTTCCTGAAGCTTTATAAGAATGTAATGGCTCATTCCATGGAATCCCAGGAATTGTCACCAAATCCTTCACCTGAGACATTCAGGAGACACAGTTTTTGGGAGCTGCACTGATTTGATGTGCGCTGGAAATTTTTCAAATGCATTTTATGGTTTCTCTGATGTTGGACACATTGTGCTCTGTAATTCCTGCAGCATCCATCAGGACAGAGGCAGGACCTGCAGGACCTGCAGGATCTGCAGCAGCTGCACAGAAAAAGCTCTGGCCAAACCCTACAGATCATTGCCAGCAGCACGGCCCTGAGGGACAGGGGCTCACCCTACAGGAGTCCTGTAAAACCCTAAAGTGCAGAGTCGTGAGGAAATCCCTTTAAACTCTCCATTTAACCCTGAGCTCCTCTGC